ATTTGTCCTAATTGCTCCATGTTTCTGTAGTTGTTAACATTGTTTATGTTTCTCTCATTTCAGGTGTGAACTCTCAGTCCGAGGATTCTCTGGTCTTCGAGACATTGATTCCCAAACCCATGCTCCAGCGTTACGTGTCTTTGCTCCAGGAACATCGCAGGATCATCCTTTCAGGCCCCAGCGGTACTGGAAAATCCTACCTGGCCCACAGACTGGCAGAGCATGTGGCGCTGCGAGAGGGCAAACTGCCCAGTGAGAGCAACATCGTCACCTTCAATGTCGACCATAAATCCAGCAAGGTGAGAATTGATCTCTTTTCCTTAGTTTGTGAGCCAAGTTGTTTGTATCAGCTCTACATCTTTTAAACTCTATTTTATGTAACATTTATGTCAAAAGAGCAAGGAAAATTCATTTTTTGCCTTTAGAAACGAAGTTTTTTATCTCCAAAATGATAAAAGATATGAGCCAAAGTTTAGAAATCCTTGTACATTAGAAAGTAAAGATGTATACATTTATTTTATAGGAGTTGCGTCAGTACTTATCAAATATAGTGGAGAAGCGCAGCACTGACGTGCAGGAGACTGAAGCCCCTCTTGTGCTCATTCTGGACAACCTTCATCACGTCAGCTCACTGGGAGAGATCTTCAACGGCCTGCTTAACTGCAAATACCAGCGATGGTGAGTCTGCCTTTCATATTTTTTTTCATAAATACATGATTGTTCAAATGTTTGTGGTTAGTATCATTTTTTTTTTTTATACTTAAGTAGGAACACATTAAAGTGATCGAAAGGGACAGTAATGAAAATATATAATGTTACAAAAGATTCTATTCATCAAAGAAACCTGAAAAAAAATGCATCACAATTTCCACCAAAATATTAAGCAGCACAAATGTTTTCAACATTGGTAATAATAAGAAATGCTTCTTGAGCATATTAGAATGATTTCTGAAGGATTGACACTGAAGACTGGAGTAATGATGCTGAAAATTCAGCTTTGTTTTACAGGAATAAATTACATTTTAAAATATATTGAAATATGTCAAATATAAAATGTATTCAATTGTAATATTTAACAACATTACTGTTTTTACTGTATTTTTATCAAATAAATGCAGTCTTGGTGAGCATAAGAGACTTTCAAAAGCATTAAAAGATTTGACCAACCCCAAAATATTGAACAATTGCGTTTATTTATATAATTTCTTTTAATAACAAAAATGTGTTTATGTACACACTACAGTCAGTGTAACATGCACATGCACACAGCAATGAGTGTACAATTAATGCTTTGATTTTGTCTCTGTATTTGCAGCCCGTATATAATTGGCACGATGAGTCAGGCGACATCTTCTGCTCCAAACCTGCAGCTTCATCATAACTTCAGGTACAAAACTCTCCTTTTTTGTTCTTGAGTTAACTAAAATTATATCTTAACAGGGAAACTGCTACAGAGTGACCTCAAGGTGGCGAAATTGCGCTGATGTTGGCAGCAATGATGAGATTTTTTTATTTAA